TGGATCAGGAAAAGATGTTCAACCGGGTAGATAGATGCCAACTTTGGGAAGTCTTAGAGGAATATGGTGTAAGAGGACAATTATTGGAGGACATCATGGCACTTTATAAAAGCAACATGAGTGCCGTAAGATCATCAGAAGGACTATCGGACTGGTTCCTCATCAGGTCTGGGGTGAGACAAGAGTGTATTCTCTCTCCGAAAAACACATCACAAAACTAAAAATAAGGAATGTAAACACCTGAACATGAAAATCTCCATCTCAAAAACAAGAGTTATGAAGGTCAGTTGAAACCCAGGGAAATTCAACATTCTTATCGACGGAACACAGCTCTAACAAGTAGAGGAATTGAAATATCTGGCAAGCATCTGAACACATGGTGGGTGTACGGACAAAGAAAAAGAAACAAGAACTATGAACGCAAATGCAGTGACCTACCAGCTAGCACCCCTGCTCCGTTACAAGAACATCCCAACCGAAGTGAAATCCCAGCTCATCAATAGCATCTTCATACCGACATTAACATACCAGTGCCAAACATGGTCTCTAAAAAGGCACAAGAAAGAAAAGTCAATGCTTGCGAAATGAGGTGTCTCCGCAAAATCATCAACGTCACCTGAAGAAACCATCTACAAACTAGAATACCACTAGTAATATAATTCATAGAGCGTCAAAGTCAAACGGTTTGGACATCTAATCAGAATGCCCTAGAAACAACTAGCGGCTAGAGCTTACAGCACCCGAGAATCCGACTTCAAATCAAGAGGAATACCAAGAAATACCTGACTGGATGATGTTAAAAAGGTTCTGGAACAACATAACATATCTATCACAGACACTACACACTTAGCACTGGACCGAAACCTTCACCTCCCCTCGACATCCTAAGGATACCAGAGGAAGGAAAAGGGAAAAGTAGGTATCTATGGGAAATGTCAATGTTCTTTTGGTTGAGGAAGTTGTATCTTCTACTACGTGCCAGTAAATCACGGGGTAACAGCACAACTATCGTAACTCTGACTTTCCTTTTTTTCCCTTTCAAATGCTACAGGTGGAAGAAAAAGTTGATTTTTCACTACTCTATCTATTGACAAAATCTGGAAATTCAATTTGTATTCACCACTATATCTATTGACAAAATCTGGAAATTCAATTTGTATTCACCACTATATCTATTGACAGAATCTGGAAATTCAATTTGTATTCACCACTATATCTATTGACAAAATCTGGAAATTCAATTTGTATTCACCACTATATCTATTGACAAAATCTGGAAATTCAATTTGTATTCACCACTATATCTATTGACAGAATCTGGAAATTCAATTTGTATTCACCACTATATCTATTGACAAAATCTGGAAACTCAATTTGTATTCACCACTATATCTATTGACAAAATCTGGAAATTCAATTTGTATTCACCACTATATCTATTGACAAAATCTGGAAATTCAGTTTGTATTCACCGCTATATCTATTGACAAAATCTGGAAATTCAGTTTGTATTCACCACTATATCTATTGACAAAATCTGGAAATTCAATGTGAAGTACATTTTTACAACAACATCAACAACAACAAAAACAACAAATCTCAAGACTCTAACGTTTTTACAGTGTATGCACCCCTTCCCAGTGCCATGGAATATGAAAATAACAAGATATTCACCAAAACTCTGAGTTACGACTCTTGAGGTTCTACCCTGTGAAAAATAAACATGGACCCTTATTCTGAACTTATCTGATCTCGTCCGCACACCCGACGCTTCTTTTAGGCAACAATTGGGCCTCAGTGACGTCATGACAGAAACATGCTTTTAAACGATATGCCAAGGAAATAAATATGTAGTTCTAATCCAAGTTGTCGAAAATGATGATGATGATGTTGATGATTATCATGATGATCATGATCATGATGATAATAATTATCATCATCATTATCACATCATGACGATGGCGCACCCCAAAAAAAAATCTTTTTTCCATACCCCATCCGACCCCTCCCCCTCCCCCCCATCCCACCTTGCTGCCAACATAAGCACCGTCTCTCCTTTCGTGTTCTGTTTGTTCAAGTCTGCCATGTAGTTGTTGCTCTCGTACATGTTGAGCAGAGTGTCCAAGGACCTGCCGTCGTCCTGACCCTCCCTGGGGGGACAAAAGAGCATAGCGTCGGCCTTGTGATAAAACCAAACTAACCCACAGAATATCACCAAAAAAAGTATTGGCCCTATCGATAGTAAGTTGTCCATTTCATACGCTCACTCAAAGGTAGATCTGAATTTTGTCAAGAAATGTCTTTAAAACAGCTGAAATAAAACCGTAGAACCCGGCACCCATCGGATTTTAGCCCGATAATTCCGACTATCCCACGTGCCAGGAAGGGAATGAGGGTTTAATTTAGTTTTAGGAAGAGTTTTACAGCACTCGTAACAGTTACTTCGGTGCCGGTTTAGTTGACGGTCTACCGTAAGTCTCACTCGATCAACCACGGTATACTGCGTAGCGCAAGTCCCTCCTTATTGACCAAAGGCATTACACAATTGAGGTGTACTAGTGAATTATATCGTGTTATAGTGCAGTTTTGACCTCCACCTAAACCGGAAACATCGTGGAAGACCTTCAAATAAACTGGTATCATTAGTTCATATTATAATGACGAAAATTAGAGGTGTTACTCGGGAGTTAAATACAAAGAAAAGGAGAAGAGATAGAAGAGAGTTATGCCTTCAGATCAGTTGTCGGTTGTTGTTTTTGTAGGGGTTTATTTTTGTTGTTTTCGAATAACGTTTGAGACTTAAATGTATAAAATATGGAGTCTGGAGTTGGATGGCATGGAGGGAATCTCTCGATGAAATTCAGAAGGAGATGAATATTATTGTGAGATACAAGTCTGACCCCTTGACTTGATTCATAATATCTTAGATCGTGCACTATCATGGCCACCTCTCTTTGCTTTCTATAAAAAATTCGCTGGAAAGCGCAAGCACCACAGTCGCCCAAATGAGAGACAAAACACCAGCCTCGCTACAGTCGAAATAAGTGCGTGCAGCAACCCCCCCCCCCCCAAAAGAAAAAAAAAAGCTTTTCATTTGGTTCCGAATTGAGTCAAATGGCACGCCCCATAGAGAACTGGAATTATGCCAAAGTGCATGATCTTAACAGGGATAGAAACTGATTTTTAATGTTTAACAAAATGTGAACATGTTCTTTACGCAAGACCCATTGACCCATATATAGCACACATATTTTTAGACTCCTGTAAAACCCATTGACCCATATATGGCACACAGTGTTACGCAATAACTATCGTATATTTTCAAAATTTTTTTGCTCTAATCAACTTCTTAATACATATCTTGATCACCATGTAAAGGAATAATTTTTTGGTCATGTATTTCTGTGCTTGGGTTCTAGAGGGTTAAAATGCAAGTCTGTGGGTTCGCTAAACACAAATCTGACCTTACTGCCAAATGCAACGCCGTGTTGGCATCATTGTTTGCTTCGTCATCAATACGTAGAACACGGAACTCCCACAGTACCTCGGGAGAGGCAAACATGGCGGCTGTGTGCAAAGGTGTGTTCCCGGAGCTGCAGGGCACGATCATTAAAAAAAGAAGAAAAATAAAATGGAAGAGAGTGATGGAGAGAAAGATATCATCATACCAGAGTTGTATTGCCCTTCAAACCTCTAAAAAGTGGCACAGGGCATGCTGTTTCATTTCAGTATGGTACGAGAAACAAGGTCAAGTTTATTTACTACCAAGAAGAAGAAGAAGAAGATGAAGAAGAAGAAGAAGAAGAAGAAGAAGAAGAAGAAGAAGAAGAAGAAGAAGAAGAAGAAGAAGAAGAAGAAGAACAACAACAACAACAACAACAACAACAACAACAACAACAACAACAACAACAACAACAACAACAACAACAACAACAACATGTTCTGTCCTATCACCTTGGAGACTGGGAAGCCGGAAAGTGCACTTGTTGTGGGGTCTATTTTTTTACAAATCTTTTTTGTTGTTTCTGTTTGTTACCTTCGTTTTCCCTTTGCGATCGATTCCCGTTGTTGTATCAATTCGATTGTCTTAACTTTACGTAAATTAAAACTAAACCACATGTCCGACCAAAAAAAGCATTCATTCATTCATTCATTCATTCATTCACTCACTCATTCATTCATTCATCCATTCATTACAGCATGTGTGCCTACATGTTCCGGACTCATCCATTCATTTATTCATGTGCTCTTATCTTTCCTGGACTCCGATATTCGTTCTTTCATTCATTCATTCATTCATTTATTCATTCATTCATTCATTCATCCTGGACTTCAACATTCATCTATTTATTAAGTATGTAAATGTCCTGTATTCATTCATTCATTCATTCTCTCATCACAACTGAAAGAGCTGCGGAGCTGGCCTACCATAGAAAACTGCATCTCCCCTCGACGTTTAACGGCAACAGAGGATGAAAAAGAAAAAGTAAAAAGTAAAGTAAGTATTCATTCACTCATCCATTAATTCATTCATTCATTCATTCACATTCATCCATCCATCCATCCATCCATCCATCCACCCATCCATCCCCGCATGTGTACGCACATGTCCTGTACTCCGACGTTGGTCCACAGGTGTGACTTGATGACGTATTCCAGCAGGTCTCTCAGTGTATTCACCGCGATGTGGGCGTTCTGGGCCACCAGATGCAGGCAGGTTTGACCTGGCGTCACAAAAAGTCAGATTGTTAAAACATATTACGAACTTGTCCAAAATAACTGCCCCTTGTCGAGATGCATGCAGGTTTGACCTAACGTCACAACAAGCCAGATTGCTAAAACATATTACGAACCTGTCCAAAATAACTGTCTCTTATCGAGGAGAAAAGTGGTTATCTTCTTAAACAGATGGTCCTATTGAGCAGTGCAAGTGTTTATCTGAGACAGATGGTCCTATTGAGCAGTGCAAGTGGTTATCTGAGACAGATGGTCCTATTGAGCAGTGCAAGTGGTTGTCTGAGACAGATGGTCCTATTGGGCAGTGCAAGTGGTTGTTTGAGACAGATGGTCCTATTGAGCAGTGCAAGTGGTTATCTGAGACAGATGGTCCTATTGGGCAGTGCCATTGTAATAAAGAAAAAAAAAGGTAAGGTGCGGGAGTGTAGGTGGGTTGACGTTGGGGGGGGGGGGGAGGGGTATGTACATGTGTACTTAACAAAATTAACTTTCTGGTGGCTCTGATTATTAAAGATCAATATGTATCGATAATTTTTGACTTCTTGAGCTCACCTTCGTCATTACTTATATCAGCAAGAGCGTGGTGTCCAACAAGGGAGATAATGCTTTGATTGTGTCCCTTCTGACAAGCACAGTGTAAAGGTGTGTTACCGGCCTTGTTCACATGGTCCGGCCCAATCTGAAAGAATTAACAGTTGAGCGTATTGAAGAAGAAGAAGAAGAAGAAGAAGAAGAAGAAGAAGAAGAAGAAGAAGAAGA